ACTTGATCTTCTTTTTTTGCTAATGTGTGATCCAGAATGTGACGTAGCCTTGCTACATAGTTGGTGGTAAAGTATCAATATGCTTAGAGCCCTCCACCAGCTCGTATCTTCGCATTGCCTTCTATTCTGCAGCATCCTCGCTGCTTTATGTCTTTTTGTACAGAACGCATTCACATGCTGTCGGAGCTACACGCATACGCGGCCTGGCAGAGCGCAATGCTGTCGTCCCCCCGCAAAAGGAGCAAACGCGTCATCGCCGCACAACAACAAAATCTCCGCTCCTGCCTACACGCCGCGCAACCGCTGGGAGCCTCCCCCTCTCCTCGCCATCAAGTGCCGCCCAATCCTTTTAGAGAGGAGAACCAGAAGTCCCTTCGCTACATAACCGCCATATTCCAGCCACCATCCCATCAAAGTCCAAGAAAATAGCGTAGTGGTCCACTCCACTCCCTCCAACACCGCTCAACTCGCTGTGTTCGAATCCCGCTAACGACATCTTCCCAGCTCCCCCACCGGCCTAACCTCACCGGTCTTGGATTTCGGGGCCTATCCCCGGTCACAGAAGTGTGATGCTAACCAGCGACTGAGTACGCTAACTTGCAGTGGAGGAATCGGGGGACATCACGACGTAAGTTATATCTTCTCCTTCGGCACATAACACAACACTACGCTATTTGAGATGGACATTCTTTTTTGCTGTTTTGTAGCAACTTAGGTATTGCGGCGGCGGCCTACTCTACGTTTGACAGGGACGTCATGCACTACTCCCTCCTCTCCTAAGTCCAAGTGAAGACGACAATAGCAGAGAAGATTTTGCTAGGAGTAGAGGCGCGTGCTTCATCTCATCTTTTTTGCCTTGTTGTTGTCTTAGCGAGTCGCAATATTCTCCTGTCCCTCACCCTCTCCACCACCCACATCCCCTCCACATCAGCGCCAGCTCCAACACAAACCACACCATCTTGCCTACATCAACCTCCAGTCGCGCACACACCTCTCCCTCAAGCCACCCACAAACCTACATACCACCTCCGCCGCTCCTCTCTCCGTCCCCGCGACTCACCCCACCACCTACATACCCCCCGTACCACCTCCGTCCGCCTCGCACCACACAGCCCGGCGACCATGGACCCCAACGCGGTCCTCACGAACACGTCGGTGACGGCGACAACGGCGACAACCCAGGCCGGCAACACCACACAGAACGTGGCGGTGGTCCAGAGCGCGGCGACTACAACACAGATTGTAGAGACGGTCGAGGTCACCACGGTCACGCATACGACTACAAAGGTCACCAAGGTCGTTACTACAACGATGAGATAAGGGATGTGGGTGCCAGGCGTGGTTGATGGGCATACGTTTTGGGGGTTTGGAAAGTAGATGTATTCATTATATACACTACTGAATTGGAGTTTGAGGAGTTGCACTGGCGACGTCGGTTCTTGAGGGACTACTGTCTGCTTTGGTAGCAACAGCGGCTAATTGGTCGACTGTAGCTTGTGTCGCGTCGGTTGTGGTTGGGAGAGGGACGGGTGGGGTAGAGGTTGTGTTTGTTGAGGGTGTTCTTGCGTGGTGGGCTTCATCTTCTTCATCTCGGTCTATTGACTCCTCCCACTCCACGTCATCTTCTGCTGAGCTGGAAGCGTTTGCGCTGCAGGGTTTGCGGGCATGGTAGAAGAATCTGAGTAATTAGCAGATCGCGCTTCATAATGGTGAAAGTGATGTCTACTTACACATCAGCGTAGAAATGCCGGTCTTTCCTCTTGGCCTCCGCTCTGCACTCTGATAGAAAGACTTCCACTTCCTCTCTCGACCACTTCAGCACGCGCGTGAAGAGCCCTAGTGAACTGCTGGGTAACCAGTCCATCAGATCTTCATACACGAAGCGTCCCAGCAGCTTGAACCTCGCGCCTTTTGCCCACTTCCCTACTGGCCACTTGTAGTTCTTGTAGTTGATACTTTTGAAGCCGGCATTACGAATCTGCGGTGTGAAGTGTCTTGGACTGGTGCCATCGAGACCAATCTTCTTTGCGGCGTCGAGAAAATACTCTGACCACCGGATTAGAGGCGAGTTCTCTGCAGTCACATCTGGATCCATGCATCGGATGGGAAAGGCAAGGTCTTGGCATTCAAGATAGCCTCCCGGCTTGAGGTTGGCGTACGCCTGCGCGAAGAAACGGTCCCAATCCTTGATGGCTGCGACCATGGCCCTCGTATGGATATAATCGAATTGATCATGGAAGATCCAGTCTTGCTCGCAGTCATCGATTAGGAATTCACAGTTTGGAGGCACTTGAGCGGGCTGTATAGGGCTCAGATCCGTGCCAAGGACGCGAGCGGACGGATGCTCATCAGCGAACTCAATGGACCAGATGCCAGTTCCACATCCCACGTCGAGCACATTTTGCACATCTTTTGGAATTGGCGCTCGATAAAGTTTGCCGTCGAGTGTGAGTCTGAAGGCGTGGTGCTGTAGATCCAATCGGTCCGCTTCCACCTAGTGTCGGCATCAGCAACAACAATGCTACTCCCACCGATAGTTGCACACCTCATCATTGGGCACCGGATACTGTCCCTCGGCATACGCATGATACCGTCTGCCATTCTCGTAGCGAAAGTTGAAGACCGAAGACGTCGCCGACATGGTGTAAGACGACTGATTGTCACCGTAGGCAGAATCACCAAAGTTGGAGTCGCGCTCGTCACTCTGCCCTTCTGTATCTTCACTCTATTGTGACAGCTGTCAGTCGGGCGAGCTAATACAGCCAAGGTTTGGAACAGGGAACGCACGTCGATTTCGAGCGACGGACCGGAGCTGCTAGCCCCTTCAGCAGTAGAATCATCATGGGCGCTCCCGTTAGTGTCTGTCGAGCTGCTCGAGGCTGACATGTTGTTTTTGTCTTTTCTGGGGTGGAGAGGGGCAACGGCGGAGCGGTCATACTGGTGGCCTTGGGCTTCCCTAACGGCGCTTTAGATGGATTGTGCGGTATCCAGCTCATTGGTAACCCAAGCGCAGACGATCAATTGCTGCGTTGTTAGGTTCGCGTTTTTCAGGCGCCCCGGCCAATCGCATCCGGTGGATGTGTCGTCGGACGGAAGTTCCCAGGCCTTGCCATGTGCCGCGTCTTATTCATGGAGTATCTTGCAGGAATGGCACGTGGGATGGCGTGCATATTCCTTGGAGTTACCCCGTCGGAGTTGGCGAAGGCGGTGTCGGCGTACCCCGAGCGTATAATGGCCGCGCTATCCATACATGCCTCCGAAGACCAACATCCGCGAGAGTGCTCTGGGGATTTTGAGTGTTTAGTTGATTGCATGCGCAAACATGTGATTGAATTCCGCTGCAATCTGCTGCGGCCAGATACGACTGTAGCATCGGACATGAGCCTTGAGCGGTGGGTGTGGTGCAGGACGGGCTGCCGGGCGTAATCCCCGTGTTGGTGGCCGGCTGCGATTAGCCGACGTCGTCAGTGGCTGCTGCATGTCGCATCGAGCCGGATCCAGCATGTGACGATGGCTTCTATGTTGAAGATGGTGTTTTTAGAGACACAATGATCAGTATGGCGAGGTTTGTAGTTGGAAGACAGCAGATTGCCGTCGAATCAGCGCCAAGAAGTCGCGCTCGCGTCTCCACCCGCAAGGGGCGCCGATCAACGGCGGCCCTTCAACCGCTGCAAGAGCGTTAGGCATTTCCCGTCGCTAATCGACTTCGCATTGTCGCTATTGCATCAAACCACCAGGTTCCAGGGGAATAAATTGCCGTAGCGTGGGTCACAGCTTCCCCTTCTGAGCCCGTACAGGTCGCGCTCCATCGCGGATTCTCAACACGACATCCGAGACGCGTCTTCCTCGGCATCCGGGTCGGTCTGCGCGGACTCCACCTGACACTCCACAACTCACTCCGCCGACAGCTGGATTCAATTCATCCCTCGCTATCCGATCGGATCGCGACTAGTCTAGTTCGAGTTGGGGTTGCGCCTGCCTACGCGTCTTCACGTCACCAAACCGGCGCTTGACATGTCGCAACATCATCAAAACAGCTGGCGCCCTCGGCAACAGAACCGCGACTACAGAGCGCCCAAAGTGAGCAAGTGGCTGGATGATAAACAGAAGGACGACGACCAGATAGCTCCAGATGGCGTTTCCGGATCCGCCAGCCATCTCGAACGTTGGGCTCTGATGACAGCGGACATGCCAGAGCACCCCCCTAAGCGTGCCAAAGCGCGAGATATGGAGGAAGAGATCCGCGATCGCATTCACCGAAGATATCAGGGTCCGAAGCACCTTCCACCAGCGACTTCCCAGGACGACCCCGAGCCGATGGACGATCGCATGGTGATCGATCTTACAGGCGATGATGACGTACAGCCCCAAGCCCTCGTACCCAAAACAACCACAAAGCGTCCCCGCTCACCATCTCCGGTCCCCGACACACCGCGCGTCAATCTCAGTAGTGTAAGCTATGTCCAGACCGTCAAACGCCGTCGGTCAAGATCACCATCGCCCAAGAGATCTGCTTACTCTGCGTTCAGCGCTCGAACATGCGGTACAAAGGCGATGAGCATAGCAGAGTCTGATGAGGACTATGACTATTATCAGTCGAGTGAGTGGAGCTTTCCGAGTAGTGAGGATGAAGATGAGGAGATGGAATGATGGGTTTGGATGAAACGCGCAGAATACGATCACGAGCAAGCCGTTCAGCAGCCGATGGTTGGGTGAAGGTACGAGGAAGGGGGGCTCGAGCGGCGTTGCGCCGAAGTAGATTGGATCAAGCAGTGAGTCTCAATTCACACTGAACATGTCCAACACAGTAACATCGCTAAACCTCAATGTTGTTCCAATGCAGATTTAACAACACGTGTACATTAGACTTTAAAAATTCTACCAAGGCCATCATGACAATATGTACTGGGTCGCAGTGCGTGAGTATTGTTGCTCGAGCTGACAAATTAACAAATTAACAAATAGACATTAGATTCCTCCACAGGTCGTTCGACTTCTGCTCAGCCCTTGAAGCTGCGAGGCGCTGTTGAAATAGATCTTGGCTTAGTCGCGTTCGCGCTCAAGGTTGAAACCCCTCCGACAGGTCCAACACCTGGCAATGGCTGGAAGGCAGCCTCATTGGGCCAGTTGCCGAGTGAAGCCGGGTCACCCCCAATGCGAACCCACTTCGCATGCGAGGGCGTAGGCCCATCCAGAACGAACATCCTGTACCAGCCTACAGGAGCGATGTATGGCCCCTTCGGCGCCTTGACGGTGCATGACCGGCCTGAGCATGACACGCTCGGGAACAAAATGCGTGCGCCCATCGAACTTCCATGGGTACTAGACTCGGAACCAAGCAGCGACACCTTGATCGCGCCACCGGAGGATGAAGTCACAGTGAACGAGTAGTCTGCCTCCCAGATCCAGTCGACCTGTGGCAAGTCGAAGGTGGGCTGTGCCGCGCCGGAGAGTAGATAAGGTGGAAGGAAGACCTCCAGACGGTGCTCCTGAGGATGCTTACCCTGATCTTGCGGGTCGGAGCCCGACACCAGTACTCTTCCGTCATCCATGATGACAGCCTCGGAGTGGTACATACGTGCGATGGTAGTGTTGGCCATAACACTCATTCGCTTGCCTCGCGGCTTCCTGGAATCGTACAAGACAGCATTCAAGTTCGCCTGGTCTGCAAGACCAAAGCCTGCCTGTCCAATCTCTGCTCCGTTCAAGATTAGATAAGTGCCGTCTGGTAGTGTTGCCATGCAGGATATGACACGTCGGGAAGGCATCCTCTCGAGACTCCATTGAGCATTGGCAGTATCTGGTTCGATGCTGACGCAGTTGTCAAGTCCCACGTTTGGCTGAGCTGATGCGCCACCGCAAATGAGGACCTCCAATGGCGCACTGTAAGGGTAGTACTGCGGAAGAAGGACCTGGGTACCCTCAAAGGGGTACGTGCGGCCTCCTGTGGGATCGTTGACGGCAGCCGGTACCTTTGGCAGGATCTTGACTGTGTCTAGGCTGCGTTCATCGAGGATGCGTGCTTCGTTGTAGTACTGGATGAAGATACCACCGGATGGTAGCACGACCAAAAATGGGTACAGATTGTATGGGTCGGTATCTCTCAGGTACTGCGCTTCATACACAGGTCCGACCGTGGGCAAGATCTCCATGTTAGGCACTGGCGGGCCGTTCGAGCCATCTTGTCCGCCGACGATGAGCATAGATCCGTTAGCCATGACCATTCCTGTTGGGTACCAGCGACCTCTTTGGAGCTTAACCGTGTTGACATCCTCCTGCCAGTTGTTGGTACCGTTGACACCGGCCGAACCGTCTGGCCAGTAGATGCGGACGCCGAACAGGGAGTCTGTCGACCATCCACCAATGTTGATCTGTCGGCCGGCGCGATCCGGTAGAGTCAGACCTGCAGCACAGAAGATATCCGTCTTGATGCCGGTCAGCTCACGGAAGGCGTGGAAGATGTCACCACCAATCGAAGGGTCGAACTCATATGCACCAGTCGTGTTCGGCTCGCCTGTTCCGTGCTTCTCGAGGAAGGAGACCTTGCCGTTTACACCAGGCTGCGCGATCAGAGGAATGATGGGACCGCCGACTAGGAACTCGTAGCGTCCCGCTGCGGTGCCTTTAGGGTACTCCCAGACGTACAATGGGTCACCCTCCCACTTGTACCAGCTGAGTCGGTTACCTGCGCCACAGAGCGCCTCAGGGTCTCCTGGGCAAGCAATGCTACATTCAGACTCTGGGGCGGGCTTCGAGCCAATCTTCTCAATACCATCGAGGTCACCGCAGTAGCACTCTTCTCCGTACTCCATTCCGGCGGCCATGTAACCAAAGGCTTGGCATCGGCTCAGACACCATTCTGGTGAGTTACCAGTCTGGTTCAAGAGCTTGTGCGGGAATACTTGGTTGCCGATGTCGGTGATGCATCCTTGGTATTGCCAGTCGCTCACGTTCTGGGTCGGTGTTGGAACTTTGACGACCTTCAATGGATCCTGGCTTGAGTAGATGCTCATTCGGTTGGGGCCTCCACACGTCTCGGCTTGGTTACCAGCACACTTGGTGTTGCACTCTGACTCGGAAGATGCAGGCTTGCCGCCCATTCTCACCTACATGAGTTAGCGATGGAAGAACGTAGAAGTTTGGAGTATACTAACAGCATTGTCGCAGAAGCATTGGTAGCTGTACTCCATGGCTGCAATCTCATAGCCGGCTTTCGCGCATATACTGGTGCATGATGCAACGGTCATCTTCTGATCATCGGGTTGTTGGTAGTTGACGATGCGGAATCCGGGTCCATCAACATAGCAGCCTTTGTACTCGAAGCCTTCTGGGAGCCCAGTAGCAATGGGCGCTGCGCTGGATGCTCCAGTAGCAGATGCTGTTGCAGAAGCGGTAGACGTAGCAGTGGCCGAGGTGGACGATTCACCACCCGTGTAGAAACGGAAAAATGTCAAGCGATCGGGACCGCCGCACATCTCTGTCTGGTTGCCATTGCATGCCATGTTGCATCCCTTCTCGCCGTCAGGTGCAGGACCGCCATTGGCTCGAATCTGGTTGTCACAGAAACACTCGCCGGCATACTCAGTACCAGCCAGGACGAAACCTCCAGCTCGGCATGCAGCCTTGCACTTGTCGTTGGTCATGCCACCAGTCACTCCCATTCCCACGGAGAGCGACCGGCCACCGACATTGTCCGTGTAACATCCTTCCGAATACCATCCTCTCTTCGGTTCCGGAGTTGTGGTATTGCTAGGGAGTTCGGGCGCCGCTGAACTCTGCGCGCTAGCGGAGCAAACCAGGGACAGTACCAGGAGATGCAGGCTAAATGGCAGCCGCCGCAGGGCATAAAGTTGCGCCATGTGTGGCGCAATGGGAAAGTGTCAAACGAGCGACAAAAGTATATTGAATCGACAAAGTTTCCGAGTGCAAGAAAGGAGCACCGGCTGTTTAACAACACCCTGGGTATCGTATTCGCATCCCAGGCAAGACCATGTATATAAGCGTCTAGATATTCCTAACACCTCGACCGCCTCCCAGCCCATGCCCTAACCGCGCCTGATCACACCGACGCCCACATCGCAGCCGCATTGTCTTCCAAGTCCGGTAGGTACATTGGCGACAGCCGGGGCTGCATGCGTACGGCGCCTCTTTGTCTGCACGTGTCAGCACGCGAGCTGCAACATTTCAATAGTCGACATTGTAGACATTGCGGCTGACAGGCAAGAAAAAAAACAGGTCCAACATACGGCACCGCTATCAAGTTAGTCCTCGCTTAGGCAGGTGTCCCGCTGCTTGGTATTACCGGATAAGTAAAGGCTCTTATCACGACCCAATCAGCACACGCATTACACACGCAGCGTTAATCTATTTCCTCAGCAATTCTCCTATTGAATTTCGTTTAAATCGGGCGCCATGCTGCCTGGCGGCCTTGCGAACTAGTCTGTGCGAGAAAACGAGGGAAAGAGGGTCTAACAGCCATGTCGCCCGTTGCACATGGCCCGTCGTTGGCCGACCGTGTCGCTGGGCGAGAGAGCACATGGCGCGCCTAACCCAGCGGGACGATACGGAGAGAGGTCCGTAGCCCTACACACCCCCCGATCCTAGCCTCACGATGCAGCGATGTGCGATACGAGCCCGGGAATGAGTGCGCCGCTAAGAATAGTGCTTCGTACATGACACCAAGCTGCTTTGCCGCTCTTATGCCGCGCCTACACTACAACACCGTATCAGTATTATTGTGTTCTGGTCTAGCTGCAGCAACCTCGCACAATCGCTTTGTTACATCGTCGACATTGTTATACGTGGTCTTGTACCCTGGAAGAACGTATTCGCAGCCCAATGCGACAGTATTGCTCGTCAAGCTACGGTACTACTCTCTAGTCTGCGCAATGCCACAAGAACTGCCAAGCTCAATCACACGATATCCGCCCCCAAGCTTCCCGTTCGTAAGATGAAGCAACTCCAAAGTGGGCGCCCCATGGCTGATCGACCCCGGGCCGTGTGGGGAACCCAAGAAAATCCTGAGAACAAGATATGCTGCCGTCGCTCCGAGCCTAGCTATATTCTCACGTTGTTAGTTCAGGTATCTACATCGGTGTGGTGTGGGTTCGACGGCAGTCTGGCCCAAGTGTCAAGTGGAGACTGGGTGAAGTGGAGATTTCGAACAACGGCATGTGAAGTGTGCACTTGCTGCTTCCTGTCGCCCTGCAAGCCACCATGTACCTAGATGTCAGCCTTGTGGTGGGATGCGTGGCATGTGATGGGCGGGAGCTGAGTCATGCGCGCTTGTATGTCACTTATAAGGCGGTATTGGCATGAGTGGGGTGTTGCTTCTATCGCGGCCTAAGCTGCGAAGAGGTGGGATGTATGCAAGATGTCCACTTTGATGTATTGGCATTTCGTATCTGCAGGCATGTAGTCGGAGTGGGATGAAGCGATGGTTTGTGGTAGGGCCGAAGCAGGATAGCTTACATACTCAGTTACTGAAGTCAGCTCGGGCTGGAGTAGACGCAGTAGAAGTGGATGCAGTTCCTGGCATCTCCGACAATGCTTATTCGAGAGTTGCCGCTGACTGCACAGAATCGATACATGTGCGGCTGTACCCTTGGCATATATTGGAGCATGTAGGTCTGAATTAGGCAAGTTGCGGGTTTGAAGGTGTAGACAGAAATGGTGGACTGGTGTATCGACAGCTGAAGCAACTGGAAGTTCCTGCGAGCTGGTACCGCTATCGCTCGCTATTGGTATCCTGACTTTGACAAGATATTGGCTGACTTCTGCGGCGCCATCGTAGTGTATTGGATGCTCACCACAGGTGGACTTCGCTGGCAAGCCGAGGGCAGTGGATTCGCGAACTTCATCCTTCGCCACGAAAAGCTTCCTCCTCGCCGACCTTGATACTCGGTTACTGCAGCCGAATATGTTGTAGCGCATTGGTGTGACGATGTACCTCTAGCTGAAGGCTGTGCAAGAGATGAGGGGCAGATGCGAAAGATAATCTAGAGCGGCCCGTGTAAGAGTCTCCTAGACTGGAGGTACTACAACTAGGCGTGGTAGTCAGCTGCCACGAATTGATCGCCAGTCGGAGTTGTCGTCTAAGTTGCAAGCCACTTGCTAGCAGTCTCAGAGATAGAAGGCGCATCTTGAACGATGCCGTCAAGCGTAGCCACTTCCCATGCAGCGTGGCGACTAGTCCCGATACGGTTAGTGACCGCGGGGTAAATGCTCAGGTCCGTAGTTCAGGGTCCTTCAGCTGCCCAGCCCTGAAGCAGATCATCTTGCACGACCGAAGCCAAGAGAGAAAGCCCAGATCGCGCTCAATCAGCTGTAGATCTCATGGCTTCGCTGCCACCTGTACGCGCCTGCATCTTCGATGTAGACGGCACGCTCATCAACTCAGAAGACATCTACACAGATATCTACAACAACATACTGCGCGAGTACGGAAGACCAGATTACCCATGGGCAATCAAGGCGACGCAGCAAAGCAGAGGCACAAAGGTTTGTGTTGCTCAGCCCTATCAATTCTGTCCCGTCGTGCTAACGCTTAGTATAGGGTACCAAGCGTTTACTAGACTGGGCACAGGTACCCCTCACACTAGCTGAATGGTCTGCGAAAGAAAGAGGGATTACACATCTCTTCGAAAACAGTAAGGTGCTTCCAGGTGTTGAAACTCTTCTCTCGACCCTGAAAGCACAGACATCACCGCCTGTGCTGCTCTCGTTAGCTAGTTCAGCTGGTCAGCAAAAGTTCGCACTAAAGACGTCGCATATACCCGCTATCAATGCGGCGTTTGACGATCCAGCCTTCCACGTCTTCGGCGATGATCCGGAGATGTCTGATAGCAAGAAGAAGCCAGAGCCTGACATCTTTCTCCTCGCTTTGAAGAGGTTGAACGCCGCTGAGACAGCACGTGGCGAGCGCATATTGGAGCCTGCAGAGTGCTTAGTGTTTGAAGACTCAATAGCAGGTGTCGAGGCTGCTAGAAGAGCGGGTATGCGAGTTGTTTGGGTGCCACATCCTGGGCTTGCGGAGGTTTGCAAAGGGTGGGAGATGGATGTTCTCATGGGGAGGACGGAGGAAGATGGTACCGTGCCTGAGTATGGAACGCCAGTGGAGGGAGATGCGAGAAGCCCTGTTACTGCTGAAGACGGTCGACTTATGTCGGATGATGGTATGGCGGAGCTGAGGGTTAGTCTCGATGACTTTCCGTATGCCGCGTATGGTATCAGTGTTGCGCAATGAGTCCAATGCGATCGCTTTTATGCGCATCTACAGACATGGCGGGGTATGTTTACTTTACTTCACGGAAACCGTGCAACGCTCGTTTCAACACTCGTGTGATTACACCATTTGTACAAATGTTTGTTGTTGATGAGTACTGAACATCACAAGGCGGGCGACGAAGTAAGGGGTTCTGTTTAGTCAGCATCGGAAGCTACCCAGTAGCCCCGCCGGGTACAGAAATGCCGACGCTTTGTCGCAACCCGTGGACTGTCCATCAGCCATCATCCATCCCAAGGTTCTTATCAAATGCCAGAACGTGCCATTATCATACGCTCACGTTTCTTTCGATGCGACTAAATCGCTCACAATCAATATTCCCCGGCAAAGGAGACGCGTATCAACGAGCTTGCGAGCACGGCAAGATCTTTGTGAGAATAGCAGCTTCCTGAAGCCTCATTGTCTTTCTGTGCACCAGCCTCCACATCATCGCCATTTTCGTCAATTGCTGTGCTTCAATAATTCTGCAGCTCCTTGCCGACCGTATTGTGTTCCGCGAGCTTCTCCATCGTGGCTTGAAGCTCCTCCGGGCAGAAGAGCTGACAGAGGGTACTCATATCATCGAATACGACTTGGCGCTGCTGTGACTCGGGGACATACATCGCATTACCGATGTTGAAGGTCAACGAATACAGGCGATTCCGCGCGTCCCAATCTTCGACAGGTTCGGATACTGGGAAATGGCATTTGTAGTTGTCGATATAGGCCTTGCTACTCACGAGGTGGCGCGGTGCTCTCCAGTTACCAATGTCGTACTCGTTGTGCCCGTAGAAGGAAGCCACATCGAAAACGAAAGCCTCGCCAGTCTTGGCGTCGATCGCCGTGTTACCATCCCAGCAATCGCCGTGGATCAGGCACGGCTTCAGGATCCGGCCTTCTTCTTGGAGGGGTAGCAAAAGACGTGGTACTACCTTCCGGAGAGTGAGATCGCACACTGCGTCGAATGCTGGCCACTTGAGGATGGCCTTGGCCAAAACCATGACATGGCCTAGGTGCTGACTAAATAGCGCACACCAGGAGTCCTCCCAGGTGTCGACAGCCTGAGTTATTCGCCCATGGCACGTCAAGAGATGGAAGCCGAATTTGCCAGTTGGGGATACAGATTGTAAATGCATATCCGCTAGTCCTTTAGCCAATCTGACCGGGTCTGCAGGCTGTTCGCATCAGCGGTTGGACATTCTTGAGAACCGCAATACCCATACCTGTTTTTTTATGTCTCGAAACGCCGCGAGTAGGAAATGGGCCGTTGGACCGTTCTCTTCAATCTCTCCCCAGGCGTAGGGTCGTGGGACAAACGAAGGCGAAACCGCGTAGATTGCTTTGAGCGATTCGTATTCGCCTTCGCACATTTGCCTACCCACTGATCCCAGGGATACGACCTGGTTTTCATTAGCAACCACATTTCGAGAGTTCTTTTGCAAAGAGCCATGCCTTTAGGAAGTAGTTGTCGGTCTCTCCCGTAGGCAGTCGCACAGCGATCTTGGCGGTTTTGCCCCATAGCGATTTGTAATAGTTGAAGGCGTTAATGACCTCAGTTCCGGCGATGGGAAAGGCTTGCACAAAGTAAGTATGATA